TGCTGACCTGGCACAGCAGGGGTGGGTGGGAGGGGGGGGCAATTGATCCTATCCAGTCCCAAGAGTGGGTTGGGTGAGAGGGGCCAGGATCGCGGGGCAGTCACAGCACAGGGCCTCAATCTGCTCCCACAGTCTACACGTTGGAGCAGGGACATGTGGGGAGCAGATCATGGTTCTCCCAGCTACATGCCTGGGGGCAGTGGGCCCAGCCATGTGTGCCATGGCCCAGGCTGTCCCATGTGCCCAGGCTGCGTGGAGCTGAGGGGCCCACTGCAGCCCACACAAAATCCCTTGGTGGGCCAGATCCAGCCAAAGAGCCATATTTTGCCCACCCTGGTCAGAAAGAAATGAAGTAGTTAACTAAATGTTGGCACTTCCTGCCATCTTTCAAAAGAATATGCTAAGAATATCTCCATCAATAGATGATTCATGTATAGAACAAAACCTGACAATAGCCAATAAATGACTTGGCTTTCTGTTTAAAATATGCTGCAATTTGTTTGTTTCTTGATGGAATGTCATAAATAAGCATTTTAAAAAGTCTTTAAAATTATAGGTCTGAGCCACACTTTTTTATCCAGTTTTATATGGTGTAAGTTGATACAAGTTGCTGCCTCAGCAGAGATGTTTCTGAGGTCCTTGTGGCCAAAGTAGACCTTATTAAACCCTTCTGGCCAGGTCTGGCTGCTGAATGATAGGCAAATAGGAAACATATTCTACTGTTTTTCTCTTGTTTTTGGTCTTTGTTCAAGGATAGAGTTCTGTAAGAAACTAGCTCAGGATTAATTGAAAGCTATTGAGTCCGCTTATTCCTGGACTGAATCAGTGAGGGTAGAAATGGACATTGTCTGATATCGCATTCATGCCACTTTTATGCCAGCAGAAATGGCGAGCAAATAGATGTCCCTACCCTTTGTTGTGCCACATCAGTGGAGCAACAAAAGGTAGTAAATAGTGCTGCTTTATTGCAGCAGATGTCTGTTTGCTCTATGGCGGAAACTGCCCTCACTCTCCAGCTGCCCTGGCACTTGCACTGGGGGTTTGAAGGGCTTGATCATGCACACACTGGGAATTCCTATGAAGGATCAGGCCCCTCAAGCACTGGGAGCATCTGCCCAGCTTTCCCCGCTTATAGAGATGTGCCCTTGTAGAGATGGGAAATCCTGGGGCACCTCTCTGTCTGTAGGGAAAAATCAAGGTTCCTCACTTACAGAGACCTACCCCAAGAACTACACGGAGACATCTCTGTAAGTGGTAAAAGCCTGTGCGGGACCTGGTATGGAGGCATGGGACCTGGGGAATCCCTAGTGCCCCATATGCCCATGTTGGTACCCATGTCGGGTCCTGTGCTGACCTATGCCTTATGTGGAGGCACCAGTCTGCACAGGTCCTAGCAAGGAGGCAGGAGGTGGTGCAGGACCTGGGGAATTCCCAGCTCCCTGTGCAGCCACACTGGGACCTGCACTGACTTGTCCACAGGTTGGTGCAGGACACAGCACAGGTTCCCATGCTGTGTCCTGCACCTTCTAGCTGGAAGCTATGCCAACCTGTACTTCACAGGTCAGCCATAGGTTGGCACGAGACCCAGGTATGGCAAGGAGGCACAGGGCAATGAGGGATGTACGAAATCCGCAGACAAAGGGAATCTATTACCCATTATCCCCCATCAGGCACCTGCAGCAACATATCTCCCACTGTCACAATATGGGACAAGAGATGTGTGCTTTGCCTAATAAAGCAGATCAGCGGTGGCAGGATGCACCCCTCCACAGCTTGATCTGTTCCATTTGGCAAGTTCTGTTCTTACTGTGAGTGCAGCTTCTACAGGCCTAAAAATAACTGTTATTATGTTTGGGTCATGCTACATGTTCAAATTAAAGCTAGACAGAAGTCAGCTATAGATTTGTTACACATTTTCAAGCACTATCTTTATAGCTGGCCGGCTTTTTTATGGCTGTATAGTCATTTTTATCATGTGATAATTACTGTGCATGTGTGACTAGTCTTACTTTGCACATGTGGCTGGTCTAAATTTATTGCACCATTAACCAGTCAATTGCATAATATATATAAAATGATTTACATTTTTAAAACTACCCTCTCACCAGAAGAGCTAAAAAATTATTTTTTTGCAAAGGAACTCTTGAATTCTGCAAAGGTACATAGCTTTGCCTGCTTATTCAAAAATGTTTACTACCTGCCCCCTGCATGTAGGCATATAGGATTTAAAAGTCTATAGTGAAAGTTTAATAAGAATTAATGTATGCTAAACA